GGGGTACTATTAAGGGCTATATATAACCCTATTATACTTATTATCCAACTGTTACTGGGGGGGGGGGGGGCAGTACTGAACCTAAACCCTAAACCGCGTCAACCCGCAACCGTCCAAGTCAACTGGGCTGCCGTTGTGGAATCTAGATCAAATTACGCAAATAAGAAAACCCCTCCATGTACCATAGATCCATATCAAGGTGCCTGAATGGAAGTCCCTTTCATCTCTATATAGCACCTAGATACCCCAGTGTCCGCTATATTTGCAATTGCTGTTCCATGCGTTTTCTCTATTATGGTAGTGTACCTCAAGCCGAATTCCTGAATCCACTACATCTACATTTTTACATACACATCCATGCAAACTATGGTACGTAACTTGACTTAAGTACCCTGAGCCCTAAATGGCGCACGAAGCCATAAAGCTCATCATTGGACCAACTGCCACAAGCACTTGCAGAAGGCGTTGTTGGCCCTGAGGCCTGAGCTCACGGAAATGACGCCTCAAACTTCTAATATGAACCAGACCATCAAGAGCAATCGTAATATAGCAAAACTTAAAATACTCATACCAAGAATAGTAAGACTAGTACTAGTCATAATCACACCAATAATAACAACAAGAACGGTGTTAGTAATAAGTTGCCCTTCGCGCAAAACACTGGAGTCCCTGAACCCTACCTGGACCGCAGAAAGAATGTATAACCATCGTACATTTGACCTTTTTGGGGGTTTGGAGCATCAGTTTAGCTGCTTTGGGCGGGTCAAATACACTCTAAAGCGTAGCCCCAACCCTAAATCCTGGGTTTCAGACAGACTCAGGTCGACTCTTGCCACAACCTGTGCAAACATACAACGATGATATAGGGATTGTATAGGGGTTGCCTAGGGATGATATATAGTTTGAGGATATCACCCCAAATAATGCAGAATCAAACAGAAAAGAACAAGGAACATGGAATGGACACTAGTTTAGGTATACAGGGATGCAGGTTTCCAAAAATGTGGATTCCCTGTTGGGGGCTCTTATACCAGGCACTCGAACTTAATTTGGGATAAATGCAGGAAGACTACGTTTTAGAAACTACCAACTTCCGTTTCGGTGTTGGGGGGTTCGAGGTATGGAGTTGGAGGCTTAGGGGTCCTAAACCCTATACCCTAAACCCACCTAATTTAGGGCACCTATTGATCATACAGCATCTCAACGTGATACTAGAAATCCTGCATGACCCGAATGACCCTCAACCATGCTATAGTATACTAAAGTCATAAAAGATTTTTCGTATCAACCGTAGTTCGGGGTAAAGAGCGTGCCCTTAACCCTTTTAACCATGAACACTACACCCTAAACCCTGAACCCTAAACCTGAACCCGAAACCCTAAACCTGAACCCTGAACCCTACACCCTAAACCTAAACCCTAAGACCTGAACCCCACCTGAGCCATAAGAAGGCAACCGCAAGAAGCGATGCCTTCTCAGACCTGGCCTTTGGGGTTGATGGGGTTGGGGGTCTAGGGTTCACGGGGTTTAGGGTCTAGGGTTGACGGGGTTTAGGGCCTGGGGTTCAGGATTTAGGGTTCATGGGGTTTAGGGTCTAGGGTTCAGGATTTAGTATGGTTCAGGGCTTGGGGTTCATGGGGTTCAGGGTTCAGGGTTTGGAGATAATACGGTAGGTTGTCAGAATCATAATCCCTGTGAGCAATCCTACATATTAGGGGCATGGGGCCGCAAAACGGACCAACAAAAGCGAAGCCCGGCCTGAATCCAAAACCATAGGCTGGGTGGTACTTTGAAAGCCACACATAAAATAAATAGGGTTAAGGGTTCAAGGTCTCTCCGAACATCCCGACTCCCGACTACACGAAATTCAAACTTTCAACCCCCTAAAAACACGTGTAGAAAGGCGATGATTACCTAACCCCCAAATAGTTTCCATTTTATTTTCCATNNATAACCCCAATATACTATAGTTGTTTCCATTTTCTTTTCCATTATCCCTATATAACCCCAATATACTACAGTAGTTTCCATTTTATTTTCCCAGCATATAACCCCAATATAACCAAGTGTATTTGGGAGGTCCGGGTCCTTTGAAACGACCAAGGTTAGTCATGATCATCCCAATGAGGCATCCTAGGGTTTAGGGATTAGGGTTCAGGGTTTAGGGAATTAGGGTTTAGGGTTTAGGGATTAGGGAATTAGGGTTTAGGGATTAGGGTTTAGGGTTTAGGGCAACAGGGAATGAAGGAATGGAAAAGAAGAAGGAACTATTATATGAGCTTATAGTCTAAAGTCCTTATAAAGGGGGTTACATAATAGGGCATTATATAGGAGCCTTATAGGGGTCATTAAGGTCGATACTAGGAGTTCAGACTATAGCGCATATGGGATCAGGGCTCCCTTCTTCGATTCACTACTAACCAGTAGGTATGTGGCTGCCCACCATAAACTTGATCTTCTTTGAAGGTTTAGGATATTTAGGCGCCCCATTATTTGCGAGAGTGTTTAGGGACCAGCATTTTGATGCCTAGCCATAAAGATCACACAGTGTCTGAACACGACAAACACGAAAACGGTTGGGCTAACCCTCGTGTGGTACGCCGGTGTCACTGGAGGTATGTAGAGGACTCCTTGCGCGGGACCCGACCTCCTAAACACCGTCATTAACCCTCGTAGCGGAACCCTAAACCAAAACGCTCTCAAATTCGGAACGTCCCGGGTGCAAAAATGCTTGTTTGCACTGCAATCTCCTGGCCGCTTCACCAGCAAGGATTCAGGAGAGTTAATTGGAACCCGAGGTAAACGATGGTCCGGCAAGCCGTCAGCTTCCTGGTACTGCAGGGGCCGAAATGACAAGGACAAGCAGTATGTAGAAGCCACAACAATCTTAATAATGTTTTGGGGCTCTATTTTCTGGCCACTACATTACCGTGGAGATTAAATGCGCGACCAACCCTATTTAGCTTCAGGAGTCAAGGAGGCTTCACAAGTCGATGTCTGTGAAAGGGAAGCATCAGCGTGATCAGTGCATCCGATATGGGAACAGGGCTGATTTTCTACAGTTTCTGATTGCGCGCAAGATTCTGCAGAACAAGCCACATAAATTAGCACATTCCCTGTTTGCAGAAACCCTCAGAGTTTTCTGTTTAGATTCTCCGCTTTTTAGGCGCATGACACAAAACTAGCTTTGGGCACCCTCACCCCCATGGTGGCACCCAGGAACGTTGACAGCTGCACTCTGTACAGGAGCCGGGTATGAACCGCCGTTAAGCGGGGAGCAGCAGCAAAAAATCCCTTCATGACGCGCTTTGCTGCCTGGTTGCCGCTTGCAAACTTGGGGCTTTGGGCAGATGACCTCATCACGTGGGACTAGCTTTGACCGACGACCTTGTGCTGAAGGATCAAACCGCAACTCATAAGGCCTAATCGTGTGGATGTGCCCAGGACTCATTAGATTGGAAACAGCCTGAGTAGACCTTTGTCAACATGGACCCCAGCTTGTTGACAGGAATGCCTATCAGTCCCATGATCCAGCAACCGAATCGAGCCGTGACATGCGCTCACGTCGCGGCTCGGCCGCATCGCAAGGCCACTGATCCTACAGCCTTACGCAGGCACAAAAAGCCTGCACATGCAGCTGGTTCCATGAAACTTGTCGGCCATCTGAGGTCACACTCTATCTATGAAGCAAAAGCACCAAAAAAAACAGCTTGTGCCTGAGTAGTCTGTACTTTGTTAAGATAAGGCTCCATGTAGGTACTATTTATAGGGTTTAGGGCCCAATGTAAGTATTATTTATATAGTTAGAGCCCCAGGGTTAAGATAACTGCATCCGAATCCATCTCACTCCTCTGCTCACTCACGCATGCATCTGCCTCAGTGCTGAGCGCCCGTATCGCGGCCGAACATGTAAAATTGGTTAGGGACCCCAGAGTAGATGGGGATGCAAAAGGATTATGGGAAGGTCCCTACTAAGGATGCTAAACTGGGTTGTTGTTGAGGAACTTGAACTAAGTCACTTTGATGAGGAAACCCTATTACTTACTATAGACTATATACCGATATCATGGTAACTTAGATTAAGTTCCTGAAAAGCAACCCAACACAGGGGTAACCTTGAGAAACTCCCCAGGCTTCCATGGCGTGAGTAAGCCTAGCTAGGTAAATTATCAGCGACTAGTGTTGAGGGTTTGAGATTGTCTACGAAAATTAGAGGAGATTTGGTTATAACCTGATTATAACTTGTGTTAACCCTAAGCCCTACAACCTAAACCCTTACAAAACTTAAGCCGTGCACCCGAAACCCTGAACCCTACGCCCTACACCCTGAACCCTTAGCCCTAAACCTTCAGCCCTGGAACCTTAAGCCCTGCACCCTAAGCCCTACACCCTTAACCCTGAACCCATAAGCCCTAAACCCTAGACCCATGGCTGCAAACGAGTCGCCGCTTCAAATCCTCGCTCTTGAACAGCATGAGCTGCAGGGCGACTCATGCTCAGGTTTGGGACTTAGGGATTTAAGATTAGGGTTATTCAGGCTTAGATTTTAGGGTTTAGGGACCACAATGGGTAGGAAGACTTAGACTAGGCCCTTTAAAAAACCCCTTTCAGGACAGTTACAGTTAGAGGGGAAATGACCCCATGCCTAGGCATGTTTTCACCATCGCTTCAAGGCAACCCGAGAGTCAAAGTCATGGAAAAAATAATAGTAGTCATGGAAAAAATAATAGTAGTAATGCCTGGACCCTCAAAAGTAGGTAACATAATGGCCAAAAAAACCCTAAATATAGCCCAAGAGGCCATTATTCTACATACTTTTGGGCTTTAGGTACTAGTAATTTGTAGTGATAAGAATAGTACTAGCTACAGCCTAACATGTTTTGAGCTAGCCGGTCTTCCAGCTGTAGGAAATACTCGGCTTCCAAATCCTTAACAGTAGGACTATGTCATTCCCAAGCACTGTCAAAACTTCGGGGGAAGGCATGTAATCCCCTACCCCGCACAATCATACCCCCCACCCCATGACGATAAACGCTTCCGCGAGGTGTATAGATGAACATACACGTTCCCAAAAAATGTATACACACATACATATAGATGTATGTAGGTAAAAACGTGGACTGCCAAAACACTCAGGGCGGGAAGGGGGTGGTATTGCGTGCCATTCATGAGCCACAGTCTAAACTCCTAGTATCCCCCTTAATAGCCCCTATTTACTAGTCCCCTATATACGCCCCTATATAACCCGCTTTAAGGAGTTTAGACCCTAAACCCTAAACCCCCTTTAAGGAGGTTAGACTACACTAAACCCTAGACCCTACACCCCCTTTAAGGAGTTTAGACTATAGTCCACATGACAAAAGCATGGTCGGCGCCTCGAACTCTTTGACATCAATCCAGCCGTCCTTGTCCACATCGAACTGGTCGACCAGCTTTTTTGCCTGGTGTTCAGGGGTTTTGGGTTTAGGGATCCTTTGATGAACAAATTCTGTACACCTTAACCCTAGGAATTACGGCACCATGGTACAGCTAGGATCATGCAGGATTTTCTCCACAAACAGTACCCAGTGGGCCCAAAACCCCTTCAATAAGGCACATACCCTAAACAATGATGGGATTGCACCCTAAACCCTCAACCCAAAATGCCTCAACAGTAGGGGGACCCTTGTGCTTGAGGGTGATGGGGTTGGAGAAGGGTTTGGCGTCCACAGTTAGGGTTTAGTGTTGAGGGTTTAAAGGCTTAGGGCTCAGGGGTTTAGAGTGTCGGGTTCAAGGGAGGGCACAGAACCTAAGTCAGGTTCAACAAGGCACCTTTCAACTTGGGGTTTAGGGTTTAGGGTTTAGGGTTCATGTTTCATGCAGCATGAAATGTGGCAAAAATCTCGCAGCATGACCAAATGACCTGGCTGCTTTCCCATTACCCAAACCTGCACAACTCCAAGAATGCTTCGGCAAACTTAAAGCAGTGACAACTGCAGTAGCTTCCGAACCATATGACTAGGTTGCTGATAAGGATCTGAAATTAAGTTACCAGAATATGGTTATGTAGAAAATTATCGGGCTTCATCATAGTAATCTAATAACTTCCTGAACAGCAACTCATATGATGTAGCTTTGTTGACATGCCACTTATGCAATAACGGATAGTCGTGAGGAACCCTACTGTGTGCACACGTGCCAAACCAGAAATGAAACAAAGCAAGGTACCTCATGTGATCACTTCCATAAACCTATAAAACCCCCAAACAATCCCTATAATAATTCGCCAAGTTGTTTTAGGCCATCCCTGGGTAACCTTCTGCTCGTCGATGCTGAAGCCACGCATCAGGTCAGTCACCCCGAGCTTACCATCCCTGGGAGTGATTTTGGTGGATTCGGGCTTTACTCAGAAGCTCCTAGGGTTTTAGGGCTTAGGGTTTGGAATGGTTTGGGCTTAGGGCTCCCCCCCAATATAGAGGTTATATTGGGATAAAGGAAAATAAAATGGAAACTACAATAGTATATTGGGGTTACATAGGGGATTATCAAAAAGAAAATGGAAACTAATGTAGTTTGTAACCCCATTCGATAAAGGCCCCCCCCCCCCCATTTGATGTCCCTACCCGGGCAATGACTGCGTGTCTTGGTACTGGGCTGAAGCCTCTGGGTTTCAGGGTCTAGTGTTTAGGGTTCGGACCGGATCAAGGTTGCAAGCATCTCACTTCTGACTCTACGTCGATCTCAAGTTCCTCGAGGCGCAGAAACCAACTCATAGCACACCAAAAATTGAAGCAAGGTTCTTCACGCAGAAATCTGGGCGTCTATGTCATGGTGTACAGTAAGGTTACTGTAGGGCAGTGCGCAGGGATTGTTATGAGGATCCACTCCAACACTACCCCTTGGGCATCAGTAAGGTGTAGAGTGTAGAGGTTCTAGGTGTAGGCTTCCCAGACGGCGGATTTGCTGGCTTGTTGTTAAGGAACTTTAGTTAAGTTGCCAGAATACGGGTATATGTACAGAAGAGGGTTTCCTCTCTTGTAGTATTTAAACTTCCCTTAACAGCAACCTCGTTTGCCAGACCGTCGCAGAGTTGTAATTTCTGATAAAACCTGACAACAACACATGCGGTTCAGGGTGTAGGGTTTAGGGTTTGGTGTAACGCGGAAGCGCAAGTGAGTAGAAAAAAGGGCTTTGGGGCACGTGCGTCTCCAGCTGAGGAGGAGTAACAGGGAATAGTGAACCTTCTACATAATATACAGATATAGCTATATATATATATACATCTATATATATAACAATACATATATCATATATATATACACACACACACCCATATAGCACTTAAATCGTACTTACCCGCATAGTCTAACCCACTTAATTATTTATCAGCAGGCCTCCCACCTTGTATGCAGCACGGCCAGCTCAGGCACGGTTGCATCTGTATGTCTTATGAAGCACCTGAGCTGAGGCGGTGTCTTGTTCTTGTCCAGGCCGAAAAAGAACTCCTGGGAACATGCCAAATGATTACAGCAACATGTCGGCTACTAGTAAACAATCACTGTCACAACGACGGAAGCGCAGCAATAGCGAAATGCAATAACGGTTCAAACCACAAAACCTTGACCCTGAACACTAAACCTGAAACGTCAAGGGCCTTCGTTTCGTCAAAGAAGGAATCTGCTTCAGGCTCCTTCGCAGCCTCGGAGAAAAAGCCATATAGGTTCCCATAAGGCAGCTTCTCAAAATCCGGCCCTGAAGGACTCATGGGGAGCATGAAGGAGTTTGGGCCTCACAGTTCAGAGCTTTTGGTTTAGGCTTTCGGTCTCTAGAGCCATGGGTTTAGGGCTTACTAACGGCTTCGGGACGAAGATATAAATAGAGGAGGGAATAAGGCGTCTGAAGAGGCAGTATCGGGGGTATCATTTTGACTACTGCAAGGACTGTACACTACAGGGAGATCCACTCAGATTGCAAGGCATTCTAGATTCTAAGCTTATTCTGCGTGTTGTTCAATGCTTTTTCTTCGCGGCATGATAGCAAGAGGAAGAAGTGTCTATAACCAGAGATGAAGTGGCACGGCAAAACGCAAGTGACCGTTGCGCTGTTTCAACACGAACCATCGCGGTAGCACCCATCGAAGTAGCACATAGTGCGAACAAAGCACAAAGAAGCAACATGGTCACCGTCAATCCAAACGACTACATCTGCTGATCGAGAGCCAGGATGTGGCAAACCCTGTTGAATTCACCTAAACTGCTTTAGCTTTTGCGCTTAGGGTATTACCTTCGTTGACAGCGTTGGCATGCTCATCGTCAACGCTACTGCTATGAGGCAGCTATCGCTACGATTCTTGCTACTGAACCTCGATCAATTTCTTAGCTACTCCATTTCTAGGAAGATCGCCACTGCTACAATCATCATGCAGCTGTAAAGATTCTCTAGATAGTGGACCCCTGAGACACCACCTTCCGACCCAGGACCCAAACCCAAAACTCTGAACCCCGAAACCTGAAGCCCAACTGCAAAGCCTAAAACGCAGAACCCCAAACCCAGACGGCAACAGAACAGCCTCCTTCGACCATTGCTTGAAGAAGTCGTTGCCTTTGTCATCCACGACCTGAGGCCACCAGGGGCGTCTAGCCAGCCGCCAGGATTTGGATCTTAACTTAAGGTTTAGGGTTTAGGGAAGGGCCAATTCATAGGGATGTCAAGGACACCGCCCCCAGGTGGGTAGTTATCAGGTGGGTGCTTATATGAGCCTCATACAGCCCCCTTTCCCCTTGCATCAGACTTATTTGAGACTTACGTGGGGGTACCAACCTGGAAGCAATTCAGCTATAGGGGTGTCCTCGTATATACGCATATGTATATGTATATACATATATATATATAGATATGGGTTAGGGGGCTCAATACTTGAAACAGCGGCGAACCGAACGGAAAATCAAACAGCAAGGACTTGGAAATGGGTGTATATGAGAGTATGTATGTCGGGGCCGTAAGGATTGGAAACAAGTTTGGTTTTTATATACGATAGCTAGATAATGACTGTGCATGCATTTGGTTGCATTTCTCCAGGCCTAAACTCAAATCCTTAACATGCCAAACCCTAAAACCTAAATACCCTTTAAGTCTTTAGGTTAAACCGAGGGTTCCTGGTTAGGTCTCAGGGTAAGGGCCTGGGCCTAGATATCAACCGGCAGATCTACCCGCCATGATGTCGTGCGCATGGCAACTTAAAGGTCAGGCGACTCAAGATCTTGACACCACAGTACTAGTAGCAGTAGCAGTAGTAGCAGTAGTAGCAGTAGTAGTAGTAGTAGTAATAGCAGTAGCAGTAGCAGTAGCAGTAGCAGTAGCAGTAGTAGTAGTAGTAGTAGTCATAGTGCTAGGAGGTACTGCGCAGTCGCAGTGAGCATGACATTCGTTTTGGGAAAGGTGATGCGGCCACAAGTGTACTAGGCTGGGGTTGCAAGGATCATCATTGGGACTATGATCGGGAGTGAAGGCATATTAAAACTGGATAATTTTGACTGTGGAGTTGAAGGCCTTCATACTCTGGACATTAGATGAGGACTCTAAACAAGCATCAACGCAACAAAAGCTCACGCAGACTAATAGCAAGTCATGATTACTGCGCAATGAAGGCGGTTCAGGCTTCAAGCCTTTACCCTGAACCCTGCAGCCCAAATATGCAGAGCTCCTGGAGACCAAGCGCCTATGTTTCAGGACCCAATCATGACTGGCTACTTGGCAGACCCTTCTGAAGCCAGGAAACAAAGTAACCCCTTCAGCTGTTGGTTGGGAATCTCCGCTACCAGTCGCATCTTGCCCTGAGCATTGCAGCAATTCCCACAAGAACTTGAGTGCGTTTTGGAGCCCTGCATTTTCTAACTAGTCCCTTACCCATTTCTGATGAGTTTTTGTCAACAGTCGACCTGAGCATCCCCCATTTCTTTGAGAAACTCACCTCCCGGTATATACTTATTCAGAAAGATCAGCAGAAACCCCTATCTGAAACATAGCTTCCATTTCATTTTCTATGTTCTTTTCTAATTGATTCTCCATTGTTGGGGGTACAAACCCTAAACCCCAAACCCAAAAGCCTTAAGGGTAGGTTCCATGTTCTTCTCCATTATCCCTATCTCGCTAAATAATCCCTATAAAACCTCCTAATCCCCTGTATCCCCCTAAACCCTTCAAAACCCTAAAACCTACCCCCAAAACTTCAAGTCTAAACCCCAAACATAAACCCTAAGCCCTAAACCCTTGCGCACGCGGGAACAAAACTTTGCTGCGGACAACGAAAGCAGGGAAGTCCTCAACCTCAATCTTCCACACGGCCTCGAGACAGTGTTCAAGGTTTTTCATTCGGACCTTTTCTCCAAAGTTGAGGTTTGGGTTTAGGGTTTGAGTTTTAGGGGTTCAGGGTTTGAGGTTTGGGGTTTGGCTTTTAAGTTTGGGTTTAGGGTTTAAGGTACGGAGTTTAGGGTTTGGGGTTTATAGGTTTCGGGGGATGCAATGAATACAGGAGGGGGCTTCTGTAGGGAATATCTAGGGAGATACAGGAAAAGGAATATAGAAACTACTAGATAGGTATTGGGGTTTAGGGGGAACTTCATCAAATGAAATTTCATGACTATTATTACGTACTGTTATTTTTACCTTGAATATTACTACTATCTTTGTCGCTATTACGTATTATGACTTCTATGGCGATTGTTGCTATTATTGTTCCTGATGTTATCATTCCTATTTTCATTCGTATTGTTCTCGTTACGATATTCCTCCGCTAATATTTAAGCCCCCCACCCCCCTTGCAATACGCATTCCCGTTATAAAGCATGTCATCGGACGTGGGAATATGAATGCCAAGAATACCTTGCGCACCATGATACAAGGGTTCAGGCTTCAGGTCTGAAAAGTCATGTGGTTTAGGGTTTAGGGTTTAGGCAGAAGCTTCAACATTCTTGAGTATGACCATAGCAAGCCTTTATGTCTTCGGGCATGCAATATTTTGGGGTTTCCCAACATCAGGGGTACTTTTTCGGGCGCCCCTGGAATAAGGACTATAGCATTTTGGGGTCTGTGTTGGGGTACCCCTATTGATGGAAATAAACTACCGCTTTTGACAGGGGACCCCTAAGCCCCAAATCCTAAACCCTAAACCCTATAACATGGGAGCATTCTTCTGACAGAAACTTACAAAAGACTGGGTTGCTGTTAAGGAACTTAAATTAAGTTACCATAATGGGTATATATAGTAAATAATAGAGTATCCCCAATACAGTAACTTAAATTAAGTTCCTTAACAGCAACCTAAAAGATAGAGCTGCCTCCATCCCCAACTCCTCCATATCGAGCACCTCCACCTGTTCAACAGGATGGAGTTGAGGGTTTAGGGTCTAGGATTTAGGCTTTGGGTCTAACATTCAGGGTTTAGGATGCGGAGTGTAGGGTTTGGGGAATGATTAGGATTTAGGGTTTAGGATTTAGGGTTTGGGGTAGGCGCTGTG